CCGGCGGCGAGGCAATCTTAGGATTAGCACCGAGCTAATCCCCTACCAAATCTTCTTCCTTTACACTTAAACCCCCCCCCCCCATTTTTGGTGCTCTTGAGTATAAGGATCATCAGGTGCTGAACGTATGGACCGAATTGGCCCGAACCAGGATAAACCGTTGCGTCTCCTCTGTGTGATTCTTGTGTTCCTGAGTTCACCCGAGCCACCGGAGACCCGTACTCTAACACCGACTCGAACAACATGCTTGCCGCGGTTTCGACCCCACGACACTGATATATGTATATATATATTTACTAGTATCCTCGCAAAAAAATAAAAATAAAACTGATATACACAGTAGTACGTACCAATTTCATGGCATTCCTAAAAAAGTAGAAAGCCATAGCTAGGCTTCGTCAGTGCGTCCGGTTTAAGAGTAATCATGCCCTTTTTATGCATGAACTGGCTTAGCTTAATTGAGCTTTGCCTAAGCAGCACAATCATAAAGAGGCCGGCGATGTAGACTGGCACAACGTGTGGTGATCAATGGCGCACACAGCAGCACAGGGTGCTTGTGCAATGCGGTTTAACAACCAATTGAACCAGTTTGTCTGCTGCTTCCATCTCATAATTAAAAGAGCCGCAGTATAATTGGCAACCATCAGTGACGAACTGATATCGATCAGTGCTAGTTATCGGCATGCACTGTCATGACCCATTATTTATATACCTAGCTAGGGGGACTAAATACATTATATTCTTAATTAGGGTTAGCCTACATATGTTCTCTGCTTATATGATTAATTTTGGGCTCACGCTAGCTACATCAGCGCCGTGTCAACACTTTGTACACATGATAACTGTCGCTGTTTCGAAAAAAAACATGCCATTTGTTTAGGTATAGTGTACAAGCTATCTTTTAAGACCTTTGCCACTAATAAACAATTATATAACTATCTATATATTGTTCTTGTGAAAATGACCATATTAAATTTTTATGGACGACTTATCAAAATGGCAATATTCAAATATTCAGGTCATGCATACTTTAATGTCTAAAATAACAATTGATAGATACATGTCCAGCCAATTAATATAAGAAAGTTTAAGTTTCCACGCTGAATTCAATGGTTCGAATAGTACAAAAGCATCCATTCAATTGTACTACCTGTTCCTAAAAGAATACAATTATGGAAATGTGTCGGTAAAACTAGTTTAACTTTCACCAAGTTTATAGTAAATAGTATTAGCATTTATGTCTCCAACTAATATTCTATAACTAATCCAATGATACTTATTTTGTTTCATGAGTATTAGTGCATTTTTATATAATTTTAGTCAAAGTTTGAACCGTTTGAGTTCTCGAAATGCGAGAATTGCATTTTCCTGTGAACGGAGGTAGTATGTACTGTACCAAACTCAAAAACCAAAATGGTAATTCATGAATCAACAACAACCTACTCTACGGCAATCCGAATATGTATATTAGGAAACTAAAAATAGGCACATGACATGCTACGTCAATGTTTCGATCCATACAGTAGGTAAGGAAAAAATCTCATGACAGTTATTGCTGAAAATAGAGAAATTTGTACCGATGTCCTAAGGAATCAACTGATGATCCAGACACGGACTGGCCCTTCACACAGTTAACTGGTGAAGGTATACAGCAGGGGGGGTAGATCGATCCTCATGTGTAACCAGGCGTAACAGATTACACTGCAAAGCAAGTCGACGAGAACAGGCCCCATAAAATAATTAGAAGTACATGTGGCCTTCAATGATGGCCACTGTTACAGCATGATAGCTTTCGCTTAGATTTTGTCATCTTTGTCATTTATAGGTACGTAGCTGAAGCTTATATATAATTAGTATCATCATGGTCTACATACATGCATCTCAGCACAACGTAATTACTAGCTAGTTGCAGCAAAGTTTTCAAAACTAAAAAAGTTGCAAAAGGCATCCCACAGTCCAGTCTGGCCAACAATCATCAGCCCGATCGTTTGCTCGTATACGATCATGGATTATAAGCTAGAATAATATTTTTTTCTCACACCAAACCAGCCAGCAGTAAATAATACACGATCGTTTATGGCCCGCCGAACAGGCTGCATGCAGATCACTGAGACCAGGTGAACAGTACAGTGTGTTCATACCCCAGGCAGCTCTTTATTTCCAAAAAAAACCAAAAAAAAGGTGTCATCTTTCAGCTTAAAAGAAATTAGTTTGGTGTATACCGTGTAAATAAGATGGATCGTTACTAATTTGATATTACTATTTGTAACTGTACAGCTACTAAAATACAGTAACTAATAACACAACCTACCACTGTAACAATAGTGTCTCTGGCTGAACCAGAATTACATAGCTGTGGGTCAATTTAAACTTTCCTAAAGGGAAAAGCCAAGTCAATTCGAGTACTCCTTTGTCCAGAAAAAAAATATAATTCTAACTTTGAATCTAGACACGTATCATTGTATTCAGGTTTAAAGCTAGAATTATGCTGTTTTTTCTGACGGAGGGAGTAGTCAACAGAGCAAACATGTAAAAGCTCATCAAGAAAGAGCAAACATGTAAAAGCTCATCAAGAAAGAGAGCGAGCTCACGGTCTCCAAGAAGGCAAGAACAGACAAGTATAGCCTCACACACTAAACTCTCTTTTACAGTACTACGTGGTAACAGGAAGCCCTAAGACGAGGGAGGCCCCACCATTGCCTAGCTAGGCCGCCATTAGTTTTGTTGAAATCAACATGTACAATGATGCCGCATGACATATATATGCATGGAATGAAAAAGGTCCCAGCCATGCATATGCCGTGTAAGTATGTAACCAAATAAACAAGCAAGATTTGCCATCATCTCCTCTCTGGAAGCCATGCATAAAAGGCTGCTATGTGCTAGTGCTATTATATATAATATAAAACTAGATTGGCCTTTTGCTACGAATAAGAAAGATGAAATATCATAATATTCTAGTTACATAGGACTAGCAAATTCTAGCGCCAATGTGGAGCACGGACTGTGCTTAGCCCTTCAGCTTATACAGCACCTGCCAAGCTCAGCCCCGGCCATACCTTCATTCGCTACTATACCTCCACTACTATGCCCGGCCTACATTGTCGTGGGTTGGCCACTGCCGCACCTGGCTTGTTGCCCCGGACCCTTGGTCCTGCCGGCACGCCAGGGGCATCACTTGACGGCGACGCATGAAGAAGGCTATGGCATTATGATTTTAATACTAAAGTTGATTGTAGCCACATCACAGTTTGTCGTGCTACAGCACAACCGCCCCCTTTGACCCTCGGGCGACACAAAATCCAGTTATCCGGCCCACCGTGAATTCATTCTCCACAGCTCGTCGCCCGTCGTCGGAGCACACCGCCGGTGCTCCGTGGGGTCACAAGAAAGACGACAGTGGGGCCTTCTCTTCCTTTCTTCCTACCTCAAGCTCGTCAGTGCTATGGTCATGTTTTTGCCCACCATGGTACTTGGCTCCATGGCTCCGTTTGGTGGTCCAAAAATCCTCGGGCTAGATCTACGTTGGCGTGGCTTGTGACAGCTTGGAGTGGAGGGACCGTTACAGGCACAATGGGGGGCAATGAGGCGTCACGATTGCATGGCAATGTGGAGGCGCTTCGCTAAGAGGTGCGGCAGTTCCTCTTGCATGTTGGTCTGGGGCGGCAGGTGTGGCGGGCAGCAAGGGTCGCACAACTTAGGTCAGATGAAGGCCCGATGGTGGCGGCCGGTGTGGCTACGACGGTGGGCGGTGCTATGGTTGCGTGGAGGGTGTTGCTTGTTGTACACGTGGTTGTGGTGTAGTCAACGGGCGTTTGGGTGCAAATGTGCATCATGCGGAGGAGTGGTGGCTAGCTGGTGTGTCAGGTATCTATATTAGAAATACCCAAAGCAAGAAAGTTAGCGCCAACGCTGACTTTTTCGGATGGCTCAAGACGTATTAAAAGGTCTCGTCCGAACCTAAGACCATGGGCTCCGTCTCGCCCGACCTCGAGGCCGTGGGCTCCGTCTCACTCGACTCTTGGGTGCGGGCTCCGTCTCGCCCGACCCCAAGGACACGGGTTCCGACCTTGAGGCCACGGCTCCGTCTCGCCTGACCTCGAGGACGCGGGTTCCGTCTCGTCCGACGGGGACCCATACTGCCGCCAACCACTCCAGGTCCAAGTGTATGGGCCTGGGTCAAAACTCTGATGCCAGGGAAGAGGCGGGCACACCTCGATGTAACCCGTGGCCATGACGGGCCATACTTGGGGATTCACATCAAGAACAATGTCGGGCGTGCCGGTGCTATTCTACCGAATCCTCGTACGGACGCTGACAGGCGCATCAATTCACCACGACGTCCGCTGGGACAGAGTGGGACGCCATGACCGGCAGATGACGCCTACGCATGGCGCCAGTGACGAATAGGGCCGCGACATGGAGCCGTCCCTGTTGACATCTACAGGATCGGCAGGCGGCAGGTGGCGATACGGTGGGTGAAGCACAAGCAGTTCAGGCAGCGGTCGCACAATGGCTCCGGGATGCCGCGCTGGCGTGGCCGCATGCTTCTGGTGACTATGGATGAAAATGGATTGGATACGAACGGATATCACTGATATTATATTTGTTTTCATATTTCTGTCCGAATTCGGATTCGAATACGGATATTGTCAGCATTGACGGATAGGATACGATTGGATATCGACATCAGGAATATGCGATCTGATTATTCGGATACGGATACGGTATCGGATGTTGAATATCCGGACTCAGATACGGACAGATCTGAACTCCACTAAACGGATTCGGTCTCGAATACGGTCGAAAAATATCCGTACCATTTTCACCCCTACCGGTGACGCAAGTGGCCGCCGGCAGGTCCACTTGTTGGGGCAGCATCTCCCTCCATCCCTCAGAGTCCGGTGGTGAGTAGCATCGCCGTCTTCATGGCGGCACACGTGCGCGAAGCGTCGGTGGACCAGGATGCGCGCGGCAGCGTGGCCGCATTCACCCATTCGCTAGTGGGCTAGGATGCGTGTGGCGGCACCACGGCCCACTGTGCTGTGGTCGCCCAGTCCGAGCGCAACGGTGGCACGAGCATGCCCATCTTGCGGTGCTGCGTGTTGTGGTTTCCTCCTGCGCCTGCGCCTTCGCCGTTGCAGGCCAGCGCGCCGTGTACCTTGGATCTCGCCAGAAGCCTTCGCCGGCAGCTCGACCTCAGCGCGGGTGTCCGGTAGGGGACGGACCACCCATACTGGGGAGCTCTGGCGGACGACATCTGCATAGGAGCGTGGGGTGGTAGTGACGTCAAGGTCCGAGTCGGTGGTGGGCTCACGAGGAGGGGCACGCTCGTTGTTGCCTGCATGACATCCCAAGCGCTGCAATGCCAGAGCGCGCCTATGCTCCAGAGCCTGCTCGTTGTGGCGCATAGGCTGCCTAGGCCTCCACCGGCGCTTCCCCCTCTTGCGCTTTGATGGGCGCTGAAGTTCCCCTGCCTCCGCGGCCTTCGGTGGCTGCTCCTCGATGACACAGGTGTGCGGCTGGGAACTAGTGCCTGTCTCCAGGCATGCCTATGCCGGAGAGCCTCGGTGGATGGCGTCGAGGTAGGACCCCCGAGATGGCTGCGTGGACTCGACGTCATCGTCGGTGTCGGTGTCGGTGTCGGTGTCGGAGATGGAGATGTCGGACTCCTCGGCCCACCTCATGGCCTTGGAGCCCGAGGGTGGCATTGGGGGAGAGAGAGGTTGGTCCCTTACCAATGGAGGAGCCCGAGGGTGGCTGGGTGGCCGTTGGTGCCGGGGCGATGACCCACGGGCTGGGGGAGGTGGGTGATGGGGATGGCTTGGGGGAGCAGAGCGCTTTCATCCCCCAGAACCGGCACCAAATCCCGCCGGCCCTCGCCGACATCATCGTCGTCAGGATCCGACGCAGGGGAGGCAGCCTGTAAGGAAAATGGACCCTAGGCCCATTTACTTTTGGATTTTGGTGTTTGATGACCAACATAACCAAATTGGACTAATGAATTTGCAAGTGATTGTTTTGTAGTTCAATAGGGTGCAAGACATGACTTGGACAAAGGCGACGTGATGATCCGATGATCTACACCATAAGCAAGTCCTTAGAAGCACAAGAGAAGACCCAAGATATCAAGCAAAGTCTAAGCACGAAGATAGGAACCAAACCGGACGCAAGATCACAAAGAAACGAGCTCATAGAGGTGATCGGACGCTGGACAGCTCACAGAGGTGACCGGACACTGGGCAGCTCATAGAGGTGACCAGCCGTTGGACCGGACACTGAGCAGCAAAGTGACCGAACGCTGGGTGCCAGAGTCTGGTGAACATCAATAAGGTTCTAGAGAGCCGTTTTTGTGACCTGACGCGTTCGGTCAGTGCTGACCGGACGCTAGTCAGAGTTCGGTCAGTAGCAGAAAAGCGGGATTTCATCCCCAACGGCTACTTTCTCAGTGGGGCTTATAAATAGACCCCCCAACCAACCATTTGGGAAGAGTGGAGCTGAGGAAACATATCTAGGGTGTTGATACACCATTTTAGTGATCTCCACTTGCATAGTGCTTAGTGTTTCATTAGGTGATTAGCGTATGTGCTTTGCGAAGTGCTTAGATTGATTAGACCACCGCTTATGCGCTTGCTCTAGGTTTAGGCCTAGTGTTTAGTGAGGTTTGCATACCTCTTACCACTCGGTGCTTGCGCGCACCATTGTTGTACATCGGAGGGGCTTGTAGTCTTGCGAGATCACACCAACCGCGTTTGTGGTGTGGCCGCCACCGTGTACCGGAGGGAACAAGGCCCGCGGCATTTTGGCCGAAAGCTTGATAGTGAAGACGGCGGGGAGCATTTGGGAGAGGCTTGCCGGAAGGCATGTCGGAGACCCACTTGCGCATGGGAAAGGCCCAAGGCTATCTATGGAGTTACCCGACCGGGAGCTTGGCCCTTGCGAGGGATTCCTTGCGAGGGGCTCCAACGAGGACTAGGGGAAAGCTTGCTTGCTTCTCGATACCTCGGTAAAAATACCGGAGTTGTCGATGGGACTTTGCATATCTCTACCTTGCTCTTTAGCTTCCGTATTTATATTGATTGCATTACTCCTTTTGCGGTAGAGATAGCAACACACTAGCAAAACCGTAGTTGCATATTTAGATAGTTTATCTTTTGCATAGGTTTTGCTAAGGTTAGAAAAAGAGGCCATAGTTTAGAGTTGAAATTTTAAGTTGCCTAATTCACCCCCCCCCCTCTTAGGCGTCACGGTCCCCTACAAGTGGTATCAGAGCCGGTTGGCTCAATTTGGACCTTTGGCTTAACTGCCGTTGAGCCGACATTTTTTAGAGTGGTTGGGATGGATACCTCTAGGCCTCCGCACTTTGACGACACTAACTTCCCCTATTATAAAGCTAGAATGGCTTGTTACCTTGAGGCGGTTAATTTGGGTGTTTGGAGAGTCATTCGTGAAGGGATGAAAACCATTAAGAATCCTGATAAACCCACAAAGAGTGAAGAAAAGGAAATTCATTTTAATGCTAGAGCTAAAAATTGCTTGTTTGAATCATTTAGTATGGACGTGTTTAACCAAATGTTCACTTTAAATACGGCACATGAAATTTGGTTAAAACTCCAAGAGCTACATGACTGCACATCTAATGTCCATGAGCAAAAACATTGTCTAGATAAACAAAATTATAATTCCTTTACAATGAATGATGATGAGCTTGTTCGTGATATGTATTCTCGTTTGAATCTAATTATCAATGAGCTCCATTCAATAGGATTAACAAAGCTAGATGATGCGGATATCGTGAGGAAGATCATCTCTGTGCTACCACAAAAGAAATATGCAAGCATCATCACCATCCTTCACAACATGGAGGACTTGAGCACCATGACCTCGGCCATAGTCATTGGCAAGATAGTGGCATTTGAAATGTCACGCAAGATGGGTCAAGAAGAAGCCTCTTCATCAAGCAAAGGCAAAGCTCTCGCATGTAGCGAGAAAAAGAAGATGAAGGGCAAGCAAGTTGAGACAAGCTCAAGCTCAAGCTCCTCAAGTGAAGATGAAGAAGAAGATGATGATGATGATGATGATGATGAAGATTCAAGTGAAGATGATCAATCTTCCTCCTCCACCTCCGACCTTGATGAAGAATCAATCAAACTAATCAATAAGGTGGAGAAGATGATCCAATGGCTCAATGTCAAGGGTGTGCCCATTCAAATTCAAGATATCATCTTCACCAATCAAAGAAATGAGCAAAGAAAGAGATGATGCTATGGATGCGGCGAGTTGGAGCACTTTGTAGAAGTTTGTCCAAACAAGCCCACACCCAAGACAAAGAAGAAGGCGTGCAAAAACCAAGCCCTCACATCAATAAGGTCATAGGATGATTCTTCAAGTGAGGAAGAACACCATCACAAGAGGCAAGGCCGCAAGCACTCATCATCAAGCTCTTCTCGTGTGTGCCTTATGGAACGAGATAACAAATGCTCATCCTCTAGTGAGAGTGATAGTGATGATGAAATGCCTTCTTATGATGAAATTGTGCAACAAAATCTTAATTATGCTAAAGTTTGCACTAGTCAACAAAAGAAGATCGAAAAATTAAAAGAAAAGCTAGATAGTTCATAAGAAGCATACAAAACCTTGCTTGAACAATATGAGACATTTGCTAATCTCAATATTGAACTATCTACTAAAATTGAATAACTTGAGGCTAGTGCAACAACAAATGCATGCACAATCAATGATGAGCAACTTGTAAAGAAAAATAAAAAATTAAAAGAAAAGTTAGCTAGCTCACAAGATCCTTATAAAAGTTTGCTTGCTAAAATGGAAACCATGTGCAAACATTATGATGAGCTAACTAATAAAGTTGCTAATCTTGAAGCTATTAGTACAACCCCCACCAAGGCATCTAAAAAGAAAAGTTCTATTTTTAACATGTCTAAAAAGGATGCTTCTACTTCTTGTAATGATTTATGTTTAGACTCATCTTTGTGCAACCATGTTTGTATTGAGAAAGTTGTTGTAGATACATGCACACAAGAGGTTGCAAAGGAGAATGCGCAACTCAAACAAGAAGTAGCTCGCCTCACCAAGGACTTGACTCAAGTGAAAGGCAAGGCGAAGCAAGCCCAACTTCATCAAGATAACACCGTCAAGGGAGTGAAGAAGCTTGATGAAGGACAAACCATGGTTTGTTACGTGTGCCACAAGGAAGGTCACAAGTCATATGAGTGTAAGGTGAAGAATGGGGGATGAGCAAAGAAGAAAGAGAAGAAGCAAACAAGCAAGCTCTCCAACACCTACACCAACAAGGTGGACAAGAAGGCCTCCACACCATACTTGTTAAAGAAGAAGAAAATTGATAATGTGGTGGCCATCAAGGTGAACAAGCAAGCCAACAAGGGGGTCAAACGCTTTTGGGTGGCAAAGGAAATCATTTCCAACATGAAGAGCAACAAGAAGGTTTAGATCCCGAAAGAAAGTGAGAAATCCAATGGACTTCGGAGAATTTAGAGACTTGGCAAAGTATGGGTGTATTTCATGGGGTGTATCATGATGAACAAAATCATTGCCAAGTGGGTTAGTGAATACTATGGACCTAAATTTCCCTTTCCATGTTAGGTAACTAGATTCAATTTCCTTCAAGTAGTATCAATTTGTATTTCCTACAAGTGGTATTTCTTATAAATTGGTATCTTTGAGCATCTAGTTACTTTTCATGCCTATGTTTGCATTTGCATGCTTATATCTTTTGTCATGCATACACTAGGTATATCTTATGGTAGGCTCGCTCAGTTTCATTCTTAACCCTTGAAGCAAACCTACATGGTTTAAAATTATTTAGGTGTATGGCACATAGCTTGTCTTTTGATTGTTCATCTAATATGTGTCAAAGTCCAAATTATAGATAATTTCTCCCGAATATCATCTTCGAAAATGATTCTCACATTCATGAGATATCATCTTTCAAGTGGTATTATTGATTCTAAAATCAATGTGCATGACTTCTACAAGTATCCCACACTTGTGTGCACAAATTTAGAGGGAGGTTACTCTACAAGTTGGATGCTTTGAGACTAATACCTTTTCAAGCTTATCATATGTGTAGTAGTCTCATTGCAAGAAAAATAGAGTCCCCGGAGTTAAGCATCATACTTCAAATATCCACCACCTATTGCAAGTGGTAGAAATCAAATTAGTTTCCACATGTGGTATTTCTAAACCGATATCATCATGTTGATTTCATTTTGATATTTATATGCTTTCTCCATGCATTATATAGATTAAATTCCTTTGAGCAATAATTTGCCAAATATGCATATGCCTTGCTTTCTACCATATGTATGCATATATTTAGGGAGAGCTTAGTATATATAATGTGAGAGTCAAATTTTATGACCTATTCCACTCTACACACAAAGGATCACAAAGTTTGACCCTCCCTTGTGTTACTAATGTCTTCCTTTTTAGTGTTTGATTCTAAAGGGGGAGAATTTAGAGGACCAAAAGCAAGCATTAATTTGTAGGGCTATAAGCTAGATTATAATAATTTACAAGTGGTAATGGTCTACAAGTGGTAATGGTCCGAGAAAGTGAGGATAGTGGATTATGGATTAGTCTATGTAATGGGAAGAATTTGTAGGAAGCAAGGCTTATATCCATAATGCCACATGGGGATATTTGCAAGGGCAAGATAAGTTTTTATGTAGTATCTTTTAGTCTTACAAGTAATATCTTTTAGCATCATATAACCTTGTCCCTTGCATTGCATCCTAGCAAGTAGATAGTTTTTAAATTCCAAATTTTTATTATTTGATTGCTTTGTTCGTGTTGTCATCAATCACCAAAAAGGGGGAGATTGTAAGGAAAATGGACCCTATGCCCATTTACTT